GGGGGGGGGGGGGGGGGGGGGGGGGTACGGGGAATGTAAAAAGTCCAATACAAAAATGGGCAAGGGACGTGAACAGGCACTTTATAAAAGAGAATATCCAGATGGCTAATACACTTATAACAAGGTGCTTAACATTGCTAGTCATCACAGAACTGGACTGGAAATTAAAAAGAGATATCATTACATACCTACTGGGTGGCCAAACTAAACCAGACGAAACAAAAATCTTACTGTGAAAATGCCAAGTGAGAAGGATGATGTGGAGCAGCTAGAACTCGCACAGTATTCTGGTGGGAATGTAAACTGGTTCAAGCACTCTGGAAAACTCTTTTGAGATATGTGCTCAAGGGGAGCACACATACACCGCATGAGCCAATGAGTCCACTCCTGGCTATATACCCAACATAAATACATATGTGTATGTTGGCCAAAAGGCATATACAAGAAAATTCATGGTGTAATAGCAAAATATCCCAAACGTTCATCATAATAAAATAATTAAATGAATTGTGGTATATTTAAACAATGGAATCAATGAATGCTAGCTATGAAAATGAACAATCTACTGCTAAACACAGCAAATTGGATAAGTCTACAGGCACAGCATTGAGTGAGAGAAGCCCGACAGAAAGAGGGCATGCTGTGATTCCATCCACATGAACTTCAAAAGCCGGTGAACCTAGAGTATGATTTTTAGAAAACAGGACAGGGTTATCTTTGGGGCAGAAGTAGAGTTCAGGGCCTGAGGGAGGGTCTTGGAGGCTTCTTGGTAAAATTATGTTTCTTGATCAAGATGCTCATTTCATGCATGTGTTCAGTCTATTAGAAATTCATTGTGCTGTGTATTTATGAATTGGGTACCTTTTAATGTATGGGATGGATAGTAGTTGATGGAGCATCAACGATCTATAGTATGCGTGGGTAAAAGATTTACCACAGACATGTTAGGATGTTTGCAAATAACTGAACGGATTCTACAATCAGCTGGTGTGTTGCAGCCGCTGTTGGGACACCCCTGCAGGAAGTCGTCCCCATCAGGGAGCATGGAGTACATTGAGGATGTGCAGGTGTCTAGAGAAAAAAAGTCCCTGGCTACAGAAAAATGATGATGACATTTGGCTGTTTTCCAGCTGCATGTGGATGCCTTTAGAGACGGCCCACTCCCACTGGATAGCCAAAATGGAGCTGCCTTGTGCTTCCCGCAGGCTACCCCCGTCTTGACCAGTGGAAGAATAAATCCTTCCCTGTCTTCTGCAAGCCCTGACTGTGAATAAGAAAGTCTACTTACTCTTAAATGGGTGGGAAAAGACGTTTGAAAGAAAGAGGACATACGTTCAAGGAATACCAAAGTGACTTGACTTTTGTGAGTTCTCTGCTTGAAAAAACTTGGACTTATTTATCTTATTTGTGTTTTATTCACATTTATCAAAATCCTCTCTGAAAAATAGAAGGCTCTCCATAAACATTTGTTGAAGCAAAGAAAGGAAGGAAGGAAAGAGGGAATGCCTGGATGAAGGAAGGAAGGAAGGAACGAACGAACGAACAAGTGAATGAATGCATAAAAGAAACTGGCCTGGTTAGAACAGACTTGGGAACAAATAAACTAACGTGCTGATAATTATCAGTGAGCAGTTTCTTCAGGTGTTGCATCCCAGTTCAAACACGTACTCCCTATGTGACGTGAGCTTCCTGTAAAATAAGTTAGTGCATGCAAAGTGTGGCCCGGTGTCAGATGCGCGGTGCTTTATGGTATGCTAGATATTGTTAATTTATCGTGCAAGTGTTACTCTCGGTGCTTAATATACATTTTAATCCTTAAAGTTCCCTGTGTGAGTGTGACCTTAATGTTCGTATTCCCAGATGTGTCAACATGATCGGGTGAGTCAAGAAATTTACCCCAAATTGAACACTCGTGGCTGAATTAGGATTCAAACTTTAAAAGGTATGGTTTGAAAAGCCTCCATGGGTACCCTCGGTGCCTTACCTGGCACTCAATTTGAAATGCAAACTGATTTTGTTTTCATTTCTTCGTAAACATGTGATCCGGGAGGGAAAAAAAAGTATTTCCTGATTGAGCCATACCATGGTGAGATTTTAAAATGCTTTTGGCTAAGATTTCAAGCACTTGCATTATATCTGTTGGTGCATAATTGGAAATCATTACACACAGGTTTGCTATTTTGCCGAATTTACTTTCAGTTTTCTTTCTAAGGAAAATGAAAGTCGTCTTTGTTTCTATTTACAACACAACACCACTAGAATAACAATAGGTAACCCTAACTGAATATGAATCATTTTCCAGACAAGGTGTCAATTTATGTGGTCCACATAAATTAGAATTTTCAATCTTTACCCAAAAAAGTTGCATGAGCTATCTAGAGTTATAGATGAGGTAAGTGAGATCTAGAGAAACAAAGTAACTTACCAAAGGCACCTAGCCAGTAAGTGATGAGCTGGGTTTGTGGCTCCAGAAGCTTACCCACCAGGACTATCCCAACTTTTCCATGGGCTTCAGGAAAACTTGAGACCACCTGCTAATAGACAACTCTGATTAAAGACAGCTAAAGGAAAGAAAGGTTCAGCACAGAATTCGACAGTGCTCTCCAAGAAAACTGAAAATAAGGAAGAAACCACTATAATTCTTGACAATGAAGAAACATCTTAGCAAAGCTTCTGATTTGCCTATGGTCTTTTAAAAGTAAAATAGAAATGGGGTGCTTGGCTGGCTCAGCTGGTTAAGTGTCTGACTTCGGCTCTGGTCATGATCTCATGGTTGGTGAGTTCGAGCCCCACATCAGGCTCCATTCTGACAGCCTGCTTGGGATTCGGTAGCTCCCTCACTCTCTGCCCCTTCCCCCCTCACAAAAATAAGTAAATATTAAAAAAAAAAATAGAAATGGGGTGCCTGAATAGCTCAGTCAGCTAAGCACCTGACTTTGGCTCAGATCGTGATCTTGAGGTCCATGTGTTCCAACCCCATGACGGGCTCTGTGCTGACAGCTCAGAGCCTGGAACTGCTTCAGATTCTGTGTCTCCCTCCTCTCTGCCCCTCCCCCACTTGTTTTCTGTCTCTCTCTCCCTCTCTCTCAAAAATAAAATAAAACATTTTTAAAAAATAAAAAATTAAAGAAATGGGGTGTCTGGCTGGCTCAGTCAGAGGAGCAAGCGCCTCTTGATCTCAGGGCCTGGGTTCGAGGCTCATGTTGGGTGCAGAGAGTACTAAAAATAAAAACACTTTAAATAAATAAATATGCAAGAAAGTATAAGTGTCTGTTTTTCAACACTGTGAAAACGCAGAAGGTAAACGTGGAAAATTAAAGGTGGATTAAAGATCGATGTTATTATGTGCCTGTGATTTTGACCGTGATCTGCATGGGGCCCCGTGGCTAATGTGTTCTTCCTCACCCTGCACAGGTCAGTCATACCTTTCATTCTTCGGCTTTCACAACAGCAAACTCCCACTGGGGGCCACAGCAGGAAGGGCAGCCGGGACCCTGCGGGCTGTGTCATGCATGAGTAACACATGACGTCTGGGGAGGTGGCTGTATCACTATGCAGGCTGAGGCTCTCTGCGGGAGGGGGAGGCAGACAGAGAGCAAGGTCGTGATCTGTACCCAGTTCATTCAAAGGCTCGCATTGACCTCCAAGACAGGTGAAAGGTAAGGCCGAGAGCCGCCCCCTGCTCAGCCTTCAGCCTTGGCCCCGTTCCAACTTTCATTTTCACAATCAGGAAAATCGAAACTTGAGCTCAGCTGAGAGCTATTCAGAGGTGTGTCCTTCCTGCACCATGTGACAGGTTGCCCCTGGCACATAAAAGCCTTGTCTCCAGGCAGCAGGACAGCCTCAGGGCGCCCGGCCACCATGTGGATGCTCCTGCCTGAGGCTGTGGCTGCAAAGCTGCTGAGAGCTTTCAGGAAGCCCCTGAGCTCTCTCTGGAGCAGCCTGGTCCTCTGGTTCTTCTGGCTCCGGGCTGCAGTCTGGCTGGCAGGGAGTGACAGCCGCCGGCCACCGCGGCCTGCTCGGGGGACACCGCAGGGGAGCACAGGGGACGATGGGGAGGGCTCAGACCAGCCCACCACCCCCAGCAGCGTCAACTACCACTTCACCCGCCAGTGCAACTATAAGTGTGGCTTCTGCTTCCACACGGCCAAGACGTCCTTCGTGCTGCCCCTGGACGAGGCCAAGCGAGGGCTGCGGCTGCTGCAGGAAGCCGGTGAGTCCCCAGGCCCTGGAGGGAGTCGGGGTGCGGCCGCGGGGTTGGGGGCGCACACAGGTGTCAGAGCTCCTGCAGAATGTGAGGTGCTTCCGTCCCATCCTGCAAGGGAGAATCGGGGTGAATTGGGGGTGGGTGCCTGGGCCTTGGGAGCTGGCTGGCTCAGCCGGGAGGAGGTGCAGACCCATCCCTCCGACGGCCTCTGCGGGAGCAGAGGGAGGTCCGTGCACCTGCCGGGCCCCCAGTGCTTCCCGCCTTCCCCGCATGCGCCAGGAAGCAGGTTGGAAGGGTTCTGCTACTTTCTGAGTTTGTCCAAAGCACCAACGGAGGGGGTGTTCCAGAAACGGTTAATGAAAGGGAAGTGGAAAACCAAGCCAAAAACTCTGACTTAGGAACTGCAACGTTCGAGACTCTTTCTTCGGATGATGTATGTGCTCCTCCAGCGAAACCTTAAAGAAACTACTTACAGTACAAATATGGCAATGACTTTGTTCCCAGGACCTGTTTCACCACAGTAGTAACCTGAGGCATCTCAGAGAAGGCCCGGCACATATAGAATTCCGAGGCAACATCTTTCACTCCCGACCCGTTCTCTCTTCTCCCCGGGCCTCCCGTCTTTCTTGGAGCACCTGGGAAGCTGCCGACTTCAGCAACCTTTGTTGCTGTCTTGTCGCTTTTACAGAAGTGTAGCATGCGTACACAAAGTTGCACACACCTAGAGGGTACAGCTGGAGGAACTGCACCAAGTACCCACACCCAGATAGCACTCAGACCACATCCCAGCACATCTCCAGAAACATCTCCCTTCCATCGATGCCCCGCCCCCCCCCAAGGACACCCATGAATCTGTCTTCTAACAGATGACTTTGCCTGATTTTGTACTTCATTTTTTTAAAAAACACACCTCAATCTTTTTTAAATTAATGTTTAGTTTTGAGAGAGAGAGAGAGACAGAGAGACAGAGCATGAGTGGGAGAGGAGCAGAAAGAGAGGGAGACACAGAATCGGAAGCAGGCTCCAGGCTCCGAGATGTCAGTACAGAGCCCGATGCAGGGCTCGAACTCACCAACTGCGAGATCATGACCTGAGCCGAAGTTAGCGCTCAACTGACTGAGCCACCCAGGTGCCCCTGATTTTGTTCTTTATATAATGGAATTAAACAGTTTGCACTGAGCAGGATCTGACTCTTTTTGTTCCCCGTGATGTTTGCTCAATCATCCACAGCCATTCAGCCAACTACGGACCCACCTCACTGTTCCCAGTGAGGTCTAGCTCAGGGTCTCCCCGTTCCTCAGCTGAATTGCTGCAATTCTTTTAATTGTCTCTGCCGCCCTGTGGGGACCTGGACATCCTCTACCCCAATGCCCTGATTGCCCTATGCTCCAGGCACATCATGTTATACTCATCCCTCCCACCCCCCACCTGCATGAATCAGACCTGTGATCATGCTTTCCTCTCTTTATGGAATGCCTTCTCTCCTTCATTTGTGATCCCATGGTGCGTGCTACAACTGTGGATTATAGTACTTTTTAAATCGTACTGTTATGTTTTATTTCTTTTTTTTTAATGTTTATTTTTGAGAGAGAGAGACAGACAGAACGAACGTGAGCAGGAGAGGGCAGAGAGAGGGGGAGACACAGAATCCAAAGCAGACTCCAGGCTCTGAGCTGTCAGCACAGAGCCCGACGCGGGGCTCCAATTCACAAACCGTGACATCGTGACCTGAGTCTAAGTCAGATGCTTAACCCACTGAGCCCCCCAGGTGCCCCACATTGGTTTATTTTTAATACCTGGGTCCCCAAAGAGTTTGAGTGCCAAGGCTGAATTTTAGCCTTCTGTGTATCTCTGTGCCTAGCAGAATATCTAGAATGTAATAGGGGTTAATTAATGCGCTGGGAGAGATGGACGAATGGGTGAATGGATGAATAAAGGGAGGTGTGATGTCCTGGTAAGAACTCAGACTCTTGACTTGCAAGGCAGGACTTGAGCTCCTAATCTAGCACTTATATGACTCGCCAAGACATTTAGCTTTTCTGAATATGAATTTGCTAGTCTTTAAAATGTGCGTAATAAAAATAACCCATATACCAAACTCAAAAAGTTGCTACAAGGCACAGATAAGCAAACGATCAGGTGTTTTTTAATAAAGCATAAACTATTTTAGTTATTATTAATACTCTTATATGGTGACCTCTCAGTTTTAAGTAAATAAAATCAGTTTCTTAAAATGATTAAGGTGTAGTATAGGTCAGGCGTCCTGTCAGTGTAATTTTTGGCTAAAATAGGAAAATCTACTTTGGTGATGATTAAAAATTTAAATCTAAATGTAAATTATTTTTAAAATTGAATTGTACTACTCTGGCCCAAGATGCTTCTCCAGTATATTATTGACGTCTCTTGCTTTTACACAGAAAAGATGGAATAGAAGTTAGCCAGTGTGGGCGTCAGGGGTGATCTGGGCTGTAATATGATCACTGCTTGCATGTTAAGGTCATTGTGAAGTCATTATTCCTCATCTAAGATCTTAACTCTGCATCTATATCCTGTTCCTTTCCCTCTCCCTTTTATCCCTTCTACCTCTTACCCTCAAACTCGTCAGGGCCCACTGGCCAATACACTGTCTCATGTTCTCCAGTTTATCTGACCCTGTTTAATGACACTTTAAGGAATAAGGATGTTTTTATTAAATATAATGATGGCCACACAAGCAGGCCCCTAGCATTCAACAGTGAGATGATGGCACTTACCATTGCCCGGTCATAGACACTCTGGAGAGTGAAAGGCTGTGTTGGAAAGAATAACATGTGGCTCTGGTCTGCCCTCAAATAGGACTGCCTTGGGCAAGTGGGGGGTGGGGACGTTGGGGGATGGGGCGGGGAAGGGCAGCCCTGCTGACAAAATGGAAAGTTTTGGAGCTTCGACATCCATCTTAGCATTTTTTCCCCTAGCTTTATGCTCATGAGTAATTCCTTGAACCTCTCTGGGCTCCAACCCTGCAGCTAAAAACCAGGATGGGGCACCTGGGTGGCTCAGTCGGTTAAGCTTCCAACTCTTGATTTCAGCCCAGGTCATGATCTTGCCGTTGGTGAGTTCGAGTCCCACGTTGGGGTCTGCGCTGACAGTGCGCAGCCTGCTGGGGACTCCCTCTCTCTCTCCTCTCTCCCTGCCCCTCCCCAACTCGTGTAAGTTCATGCACATGTGTGCGCATGCACTCTCTCTCTCTCAAAAATAAACAAATAAACTTTAATAAAGAAATATATAAATAAAAGCCAGGATCATGATCCTTCCCTTGCCGAATTGTTTACGGATGAATTGCTTGCCTTAACCGTGTTCCACCGGGTGAGATGTGGGTAGGCCAGACGCAGATCAAGAGAGAGAAACTGGAAAGAGATGTACAGTTTGTTCCACACCGTTCCCTGGGGAGAGCACCACCCACCACGCAGGCGTACATGGAAGTACTGGCTCAGCCACCAGGAAGAGGAAGAAGGCGCACTGTGGACATGCCCCCCACTGTGGTTTTCGCGGGAAGGAACTGACGGGCAGGCGAAGCTGGCTTAGCATGGGCCCCATGAGATCAGGACACAGGGCCCGGTTGTCTGAGATCCTCCCCTGGGATGCAGACGGCAGAGTACGGTGGCCCAGAGTGAGAGCCTCGGAGATCAGGTGGTTGGGGTGTTGACTTCCTTGGTTGATCAAGAAAAGGACCTGCCCAGGGGCGCCTGGGTGGCTCAGTCGGTTAAGCATCCAACTTCGGCTCAGGTCATAATCTCACGGTTCATGGGTTCGAGCCCTGCATCGAGCTCTGTGCTGACAGCTCAGAGCCTGGAGCTGCTTCAGATTCTGTGTTTCCCTCTCTCTCTGCCCCTCCCCTGCTCACGCTGCCTCTCTCTCTCTCTCTCTCAGAAATAAATAAAACATTAAAAAAAATAAAAAAAATAAAAAGAAAAATGAAAAGAAAAGGACCTGCCCAGCCCTCAGCCAGGACCTCAAAACCGAGTCAGGACAGCATTTTAAAAGCTGACCTACAGCGAGTTTGCACGAACGAAATGTCCGAGCACAGGATTCTGTACTTAGTAGGTACAAAGGTGGTGGAATGGATGTTAACAAGTACAGTTCTCTGGGAGTTTTGTGGCATACTGTGCTGTTTGGCCCTGGATAAGGTCCCCCGCCTTCTCTGTTAGTTTATTCGGTGCTTCTAGTGACTTTATCCTGATGACCAAGTCCGTTTGCTGCCCTTCCTGGCCTTGTGCTGCTTCTCTGGCCTCTGACCCCCGCACATGCTTCTGTTGTGCAGCCTGCCACCCGGTGCCCTTCCCTCCCGTGCTCTGGAGCGTGGTGGCTGCTGTCTCGCATCTGAGCAGGCTGTGTGGTGCCTGAGCTATCAGCACCTTCAGCGTCCTCTGAAGCACCCATTTCAGACTTCTCTTAGTGGAGCTCGTTGCTTACTGATTAAGGTTCATTCTGGAAATGACCCGCTCCAGTAATGCCGCGAGTACAGAGAGTCTCATAAAGACGCAGTCAACTGAGTTGAACTGCACTGAATTAAAAATGAACTGCACTGGGACAGTAGCACTATGTAAATTCTAAATGTATTTAGACCTTCTGGACCTTCTACCTAACGCCCTTCCAATCTTTCCTTCATGCCACGGAAGTGCCAATAGCGTCATTGAACGGAGGGGAATAAACCCACAAAGAAATCCAGATTGCCGTGCAGAGCGATTACTTGGACACCCTTCAGTACGTGTCTGCAGCGCAGCGGCTGTAAGAGGCTCGCCGGAGGGCTGCACGGAATGAAGGACATTTCAAAGACGGGAAGCATTTTAGGCCACAAGTTCAGCGTTGGTCCAGTCGTAGGGGTGAGACGGGAGGGAGGAGATAAAGGCAGAGCCACTGCTCTCCCCAACACGGTCAGAGGGGGTCCCTCTCCAAGTCCTGCAATGACAGAAGGCTTCTGTCCTGAAGGATCCAGACCACCACAGCTGAGCTCAGGGATCCCAGGTGGGGCTGGGAGGAGAGAAGCGCCATACTGAAGACCAGGAGCGTTTGGGGGTGGGCGGTGAGAACCTGCCTGCTGGTAGTTTCCCGGGCACAGGCAGCCAGGTGGTAAGGCATAGGAGAGATTAAGGGTCTTCTCCAGGAGACCAAAATGGCCCAGAGGAAAGACCAAGGCTATCAGCATGTGGGGCAGAACCCAGGGAATAAATCGTTTCTCACTCTGTCACTCTGTAGCGAAACCCTCCATCTGAGCGGTTTCTTCCTGAATCACAGAAATTCCATTTCACTCTTTTATGTTTATTAGACAAATAGAAACATGAAAATAAAAGGCAGACGCCAAAACAAATCAGCAGAGAGAAGAGAGGAAATCTTCAGAAACCAATCTGTAACTGATAATCCCAGAGAGAGGAGAGGGAAATTATTACGCATAAGAAATAATGTGATGCTAAGAAAATAGTCAGGATATGGGAGAGTCTGGGGAATGGAAACAGATTTCTAAAATTAGAATTTTAATAGAAAGACTAAAAAATAAGGTCCTGGGAAAATGGGGCTCCAGAGACACAGCCCGAGGGCCTGGCGGTTCCAAGCCTGAGCACCAGCACACCGGCAATAAGACGTCCAGAGAGAAAACCAGGCTGGAGAAGAGGTTAGAGTTGCGAACAAAGTAGTAGGAGAGCTCTCCCGTTGCAAAATGAGCTGTATTTTTCCATCAAGGACCTGCCACGTGGCCAGAATAATGTATAGAGAAAGATCTCACTGAGGCACATCACCTTAAAATTTGGGGACATCGGAAAGAAAGATTCTGGAAGGGGGGGAAAACATGCCTTTCAAAAGGACTACAAATCAAAGTATTCTCAGGCTTCCTAGCAATAATATGAAGACCTGAAGACAACGAGGCAGAGTCATGCCCTTAAAATTCCAAGGGCAAAGTGATTTCACCCAGAATACTATACCCAGTCAAACTGTTGATCACAGATGTATTTTGAAACATATAAGTCCTATAGTTTGCAATGTTTTCAAAAGGCTTTTCCAAAATAAAGGAGTAAGTCGAGAGAGGAAAGGGTGGAATTTGGGGACAAGAGGCATCTTGCACGCAGGAGACTGAAGTGACGCCCCAGGGCAGTGTGGGGGCTCTCTCGGCCTGAGAATGTCCCAGAAAGACCATTCTGGAGGGGGTGGGGGAGGTTTTCTGCACATCTCTGTGTTGATTCATCACCCCCTTTGCCTCCTAAGCAAATCTCTCATCCGTGTAACTGATACCCTATTGAGATGCATCCGCGTTAAAGCAGGGGCGAAGGGTGAGGCCCTGGGTTAAGTATATGTTAGCCCGCCCCCCCCCCCCCCGTGGGAAACATTGAGGAGCCAGGCTTGGGAGGGCCGGGGAGATAATCATTTTGTTTTTGTTACTTTGAGAAAACAGCACTTTTGTCATTAAAATAACAAGGCGTGTTTGTGCAGTGGGAGAAAAATAAAACAGAATAAAGATTCACGGTCCGCCTCTCACAGGGATGGAGAAGATAAACTTCTCGGGAGGAGAGCCATTCATTCACGACCGGGGCGAGTACCTGGGCCAGCTGGTGAGGTTTTGCAAAGAGGAGCTACATCTGTCCAGCGTGAGCATCGTGAGCAACGGAAGCCTGATCCGGGAGCGCTGGTTCAAGACTTACGGTGAGCTTCCTGGCGTCACGCTGCCCTTGTGGCTTCTGTGAGCTTCGGGTCCGGATTCCTTCCATCCCGGGCCTTAGGCCAGGCCCACCGCAGGGGAGGTGGGGGGGGGGGCAGGGAGGAGAACCCACACTCTACTATCTCTACAGACCTGGCATGCAGTTAGAGGCTTTCGTGCTGCAGGGCTCTAAGGAAACAAGTGTGGCAACACAGATAACAGAAAATATTAGCAACTGCGACTCTTCTGTGCCTCCCAGTTTAGCAGGTACCGGGGTCTAAGGCTCTATCTTAGCTGCTACCAGAGGACAGTGATACAATTCTGTGACCCCTACCTTATTGCTTGCTGCTAATGTTTAATTTTTAAATATCGAGGGAACTCTCATTTGATTAGTCCCACACATGAAGCAGTTGGACTAAAACAGTCTTTCCCTCCTTGGGCTACATATGCGGCTGTTGAAGAAATTTAAATAAACTGTCTGCATAGGGGACTGAATCCCAGACTAATTATGTCGTGGTGTGTGGACAGACGAACCCGCGGGGCCAGGGTGGACAACCGAGGACTCTGAGACCTGGAAGTCCCTCACAGCTGAGTTCCCATAGATGTAATATCTCTAGAGCAGAAGCCGGAACTGAGGGAGCCCTGGAAAATATTGGCTGTTATTACTACAACCATTTTAGGAGACAGTTATTACCTAACTCTTAGAGCACAGTATTCTGTTCTCACTTTGTATGAGTGCTGTGAGCTTTGCAATCACTGAAAGAGTGGTTGCATTTATTCTCTGTTAAGGCTGTTCACAGAAAGTCTCTGAGCAAATATCCCTCCTGAGATGATGAAGAAGCGTGGGGTGGGGTGGGGGGGAGGTGGTAGATGTGGGTGGGGTGGCGTAGCCCACGTGACGAAGGTTAAGCAGGAAGACAAGATTCAAAAGTCTCCAGGAAAGGTGAATTAAGAAAGACTGGAAGACAATGAGTTAGAGCCAAAAATGTCCATGAAGGGAATCACTTAGTGAATCAGGGTCAGAAGTGTCAAAGGAAACAGAGTCAGAGAGATAACAAAGGCTTAGGGGACAGTGTGCGCAGAGGATAATTGGCCGGGCTTATTGGCAGTGTCCCTGAGCAATGTCCTCCCTCCAAGACTGGCTCTGCGTGGGCGCCATTGTGGTCTGGGGAGCCAGCCCTGAAGGATAGCTGCACTCCAGGGTCAGAAGCACAGATGCCTGTGTGGGAGAGGTGTTGTGGATTAGTGGATTTGGAAGTGCATCAGAAAAACCCACTCCAGTCGCGGGGAGGCAATAAGAAAGCACAAGGCTGCGAAGAATGGGAAGCACCATGCCCTGTTCATAGTGGACGAGCAGACCGCCAGTTAGCCATGAACTTCCATTGGCGTTTATGCTACAACAGGATTTAGGGTTCCTGTCGCCATGTTCTGAAACTCTTAAAGATACTTCAGAAATCCACATTCCATGTTAAACCTCCCAATTCAATATTTGAAAATAATTTAGAGTATTTTGAGATGCCATGAGCAAAAACAGCAGCAGTGCTTATGTATAACTAGGTGATCGGTAAACCTCAATTTTCCACCTCTGGTGTAAAGGGCCAAGGGTGAGTCCATGCACTTGACAAAGAGAGCTGCTAAGTTTGGCAGCTTTTGAGGAGCGCTCACAAGGCCCAGTGGCCACTTATACCCACAGCTAAGTTTCATCAGAGCAAAGGACGCAGCAGAGAAACAGCAGAAGATGCGGGTCACTGGGGTCCAGAGAGCTCAGACGCAGGCTCCTGAGTGTTTCCCCTCCAGGACATACAGGATGTCCTTTCTCTCTAGCAGTGAACTTCAGACACATGTTTGGAATGTTTTTGCCTTGGAACGCTCATCTGAGTCTTAGGGTCTGAGACTTTTATGCAGGGCTGTTCACTTAGGCACCTACTATTGTCCAATCATCCACGGCAACCGAAACTCAGGACTCACAACAAAGAAACCAGGTATACGTCATGAATCTTGCATGACAATCCCAACACCTCTTGACGAGCTGACTGAACATGTCCTATTGCTCGAGATATACATGCATCAGCAATGGGAGACATCTAGAATGCACTGGCAACCCTACAGGCAGGGATTGGCCAAGATTCCCTCATGGTTCTAGGCTCTCCTGGAGACTTACAAGGACTGAGCACAGAGGTCTGCTTGGCTAATGCTGTCTTCACAAGGGCTCCTACAGGAAAATCTGAGACAGAAGGAGGGGGTGTCATGATCATAGAGCAGAAGCTGGAGAAGTGACAGAATAAAGCAATTGATGGAGATTCTTAGCTGACTTGGAAATCAACTAAGATAATATAACTGATAGGCCTCTATCTTAGTTTTGAACGTTGTTTTTAGTCGGGTTAGAGACCACTCCCTCAGTTAATTCCTTTCCCCAATATGATAAGCCATTGGGAATTTATCTGAGATCAATTTCTAGAACATTTTGAGTTGCTTTATATTTTTTTTAGTTTATTTATCTTGAGAGATGCAAAGACAGCATGAGAGGGGTGAGGGGCAGAGAGAGAGGGAGAATCCCAAGTAGGCTCTGCCCGATGCAAGGCTCGAACCCATGAACCATGAGATCATGACCTGAGCCGAAATCAAGAGTCAGATGCTTAAGCGACTGAACCACCCAAGTGCCCCATTTTGAGTTGTTTTAAATAACGGTCAGTCACTTACTCTGGTTCCAGTTTGTGCTAGATACTTTGAGCCTATAAAATAAGTAGAAGACAAGTGCTTGTCCTTGAGAAACTAAAGACTAGTTAGACTACGATGGAGCTACGTTAATTGACAGATTGCAACTCAAGTTTCAGAGTTCAGGACGGCCAATCACGCCAGTCTCCAGAATGTATTGAGGAGTGAAGGGCGTACACGTGGATAACATACTAGACCCCACATCACACTTAAAATTTCTCCCTGATTAGAAAATCAGATAATAATTGCTTACAGAGATTTGAAACCCCTAGTTTCTATAATTAGGGAGTACTTTTAAGAATCAACTTTGCAATCAATTCTGCAGAGTCACAATAATGAGGAAAACTCAAACCTAGTCCACTGTGAAGACGTGGCCAGAGAACGAATGGATGGTAAAAGATGTCAGAGATTGGGGTGCCTGGGTGGCTCAGCGTAAGGTCAAGCTCAGGCTTAGCATCTGGCTCTTGATTTCAGGCTCAGGTCATGATCTCATGGTTTGTGGGATCAAGCCCTGTGTTGGGCTCTGCATTGACAATGCAGAGCCTGCTTGGGTTTCTCTCTCTTTCTCTTCCTGCTACTTCCCTGCTCACGCTCCCTCTCTCTCAAAATAAATAAAATAAACTTTATTTTTTAAAGTTTTCTTTAAGTTTATTTATTCATTTTGAGAAAGGGGGAGCAAGTGGAGCAAGAGGCAGAGAGAGAGAGAGAAAGACTGAGAGAGAGAATTCCAAGTAGGTTCCACACTGTCAGCAGAGAGCCTGACTTAGGGCTCAAACTTACAAACCATGAGATCACGGCCTGAGCTGAAATCAAGTGGCCGAGCCACCCAGGTGCCCCAAATAAAATAAGCTTTAAAAATATGAAATCTTAGGGGCGCCTGGGTGGCTTAGTCGGTTAAGCATCTGACTTTCGCTTAGGTCATGATCTCGCGGTTCGTGGGTTCGAGCCCTGCGTCGGGCTCTGTGCTGACTGCCAGCTGGGAGCCTGCCTGGAGCCTGTTTCAGTCTGTGACTCCCTCTCTCTCTGACCCTCCCCTGTTCACGCTGTCTCTCTATCTCCTAGAAATAAATAAAACATTTAAAAAAATAAATAAAAAAAATAAAAAATACATTTAAAAAATATGAAATCTTAGATACAAACAAGATATGTTTTCTCATGGAAGCATCTAAGTGGCCTAAAAGGTTTGGACCTTTAACAGAAAAGCTTCAAGATGCTCCTTGTCCTTCAGGTGAATATCTGGACATCCTTGCCATCTCCTGTGACAGCTTTGATGAGCAAATCAATGTCCTCATCGGCCGTGGTCAAGGAAAGAAGAACCATGTGGAGAATCTTCAAAAACTGAGGGCCTGGTGTAGAGATTATAGGGTGGCCTTCAAAATCAATTCCGTCATTAATCGATTCAACGTGGATGAGGATATGAGGGAGCAGATCAAAGCCCTGAATCCTGTGCGCTGGAAAGTAAGTGCTGTGTCCCGTGTCACTTTTGCTGAGTATAATTCAGAAAATGTTGGGGAGACACTGTCAGTGAAACTCAAATGTTGAGGTTAGAGAGAAACCTGGACTGATGGAACCAGCCAGGAAGCTGGGTCCCGATGCCTTCTTCTATCTGTTAAACTTTAGGCTGCTTACATTCTCTTTGCCTCAATTTCCCCTTCTACAAACTGGAACTGATTCCCTTCTGGAATATTGAGAGGATAAAAGTCAAAAGATACAGTCGGTGCTTGGAGGTGTTCTAAAGAATAGGTCCATAGAGGGGTGCCTGGGGGGCTCAGTTGGTTAAGCCTCTGACTCTTGATCTCTGCTCAGGTCATGATCTCACGGTTCCTGAGATCGAGCCCTGAGCTGGGCTCTGAGCTGGCAGCACGGAGCCTGCCTGGAATTCTCTCTCTCCCTCTCTCTTTGCCCCTCCCTCCCTTGCTCCCCCTCTCTCAAAATAAATAAACATTAAAAAAATAAAGAATACCATAGGATACCTAACCAATATTTATTTATTAAATATAATAATACTGGATTTCTTCTTAAAACTCTTGGCTTATTCATAAATGGATATATGTTCCTCATAAATCCTGTTAATATATTATTCATTCAATTATTAGAAGGTATTGGGGCAACACTATCCCCAAGTTGCAGCAAACTTCATTCATCAAGATTTGTTCTTTTGATCCCTCCATCAGTTACTAAAAAGTCTAATGTCCAGTTCAAGGTGTGTTTACAGCACCCACCATGTGCAGACACTTGCAAATAATGGCAAATTAAACTTTCCTACCCCTGGCTGTTCCTCAGAATCAGCTCAGGGGACCGTTTAAAACACAACTTCTTGGACCTCCACCCCATGCCCAGAAGGACCTGGAGCAAAGCGGAGGCTGCGGTCCAGTAAGGGGGACCGAGGAGGACCAGACGCTGGGCTCCAAGCTTAGATTTTCCTTCTAGAGCCATCTGCCAGTCATTCCCCCTTTCCCTGATCCCCCGTCTCTGTTCCACTTCTGTCTCTCTCATTATTCTCTTTTTAGCTTTCCTCTCTCTCCCTATATGTACGTATGTGTGTGTGTCAATACACACACACACACACACACACACACACACACACAACTCCTCTGTGGCTTCTGCGCACGGATTCACATCAGAATTGCCTTTTCAAAATCCTGAGCTGTCTGCAGGGAGCAGATTAGCTACTGCCTGTTTGGAAAGCAGTTTTGGTGTCAGATCACTGGCGTATGCCAGTTGCAAACTGAGGAAATTCAGTCAGTGCCCCTGGGTCAGGCGCCTGGACCCCCAAGGCTGCCTCCTCCAGGCGGGGGGTCGGGCTTGCAGGCCCAGTGCGCAGCACACCAGGGCTGAGCAAGCGCTGGAGGGAAGGAACCTCAGTGTTCGCCCCAGGGGGGTCTGCAGTCACCTGTAGGCCTGCTCTAGGGACAGTGGAGCAGGCGACACCTGACCTTCCCCATCCAATCCCCCCCCCCCGCCCCACGTTTTGCCCCATTGAAGTTGGTGGATCTGGAACGAAAGCAATCAGGGCACAAGCCCCCGCCTGCTATTCAAGCAGCTCGGGATTCGCACCCCTGTGAAGACCTCTGGCCTCGTCTCCCTCTGCACCCTGTGCCTGGACTGGGGATGGATGCTGTGGGCACAAAGATGAGGGGGTCTCCTCTCCCAGGAACCCCCCAGGCTATGGAGCAAAACAGCCAGGAAAGCAAATAGTAGAACCGCCGTGTGACCAGGGGCCGTGGGGACAGACGTTAAAGGACTGGGGAGCAGAGAGGAAGGCGGGTGGGGATAGAGTGAGCAAAGCAGGCAAGGTTTAGGGCACTTTGAGATTAATTGTAAACTGACTATCATGTTAATTAAATGCTGTGGATAATCCCCACTCCCTTACCAAAGACCCTGTAGCCTTGGGCTCTGTGCTGGGTCTGTGCCCGATCAGCTGTCGCCTCTTATCACCTTGCTTGGGTCCCTGGGACAGTTTTCCTTCTCAGATGATGCTATTCCTTATGAGGGAAGAATAATTCATTCGCACCTGCACGCACGCGCACAAACACACACACTTTACTTACTTAAAAAATGTTAAAAGACTATTAATGGCTTTGGAAGCTGTCCTTGTTTATTTATTGGAAAAAGCCCCACATAGTCTAGAGGCCTTAGTGAAGGATATTTGAAATCAGCAGAGACAACATTTTAAAAACGCTTGTTTCTTGGTCGATCACAAATGATTTGTCTGTTTTCCTGATGCTCTTACTCCCTGCAGTGAACATCAGATATCTGGTGGCCTGAAAAGATTAGATTGTCAGACTAGCTCAGACATAAACCAGACCCGTGTTATACGTTCGGACAGCGTGCGCTTCCTGACCCTGAGGGCCCCGGAGTGATGTCTTTCTAGAATGTTCTTTAGTCGGAGGACTCTTCCTTGCTTAGAGGAGACGAAGCCGGGTCTGGGGAAGTGAGGTGAGGGGCACACATGAGGGAACGCTCTCTGCAAAGCAAATGTCCCCTTCAACCCCCAGGTCTTCCAGTGCCTCCTCATTGAGGGGGAAAATTCCGGACCAGACGCCCTGAGAGAAGCCGAGCGATTCGTCATCAGCGAGGAAGAATTTGAAGAGTTCTTAGACCGCCACAAAGAGGTGTCCTGCTTGGTGCCCGAGTCTAACCAGAAGGTACGGTGGAGTCACTGTCACATCATGAGATGCTTTCAAGCAGGGGCCTCTCTAGCTCAGGGGATCCACACTCTGTTCCCTTGGAGCGCTCAGCGAGGAGGATGGGAGGGTGCAGTCTGGGGCTGGAACCCACCGCCAGCCCCGCACCTGTCGGTTGTGGGCCCTGCGGGGTCCCTTCCCCCGCCCCGTCCTTGGACTCTGCATCCACGGCCCTGAGGGAGCAGGCAGAGCTTCCTCGAGGAGCACAAGAACACCTTCCATACACCTACGGAAGCTATAACTAGTTACATGTAATGAAAGTAACATTAAAATCTCAGGCAGGCTCCCAGGTGATAGAAGTAAAGCTTTATACATTGAAAATGGGGGAAACTCCATGTATGGTCGAAACAGCCATTGGGGATCCTGATCCCACAGCTTGAGGAGATGGGCCACTGGCCAGGGAATTTCATCCTCAGAGAAGCTCTCACAGTGCCCTTTGCCCCTTGCAGCCTGGGGCGGAGAATCGAGCCTGCTGAAGACTGTGAGATACCCCTGGAGACGTTTGTTAGGTAGGGGTGGGGGGGCAGGGCGCAGGCGAGGGGTCGTAAGGGACAGAGCCAAAGACACTCGAGTGGTGTAGGAAATGTAGAATCCAGAAGCAATAAAACAACAATATGCAAACACTATGTAGGACAGACTGTTGAGAACACACACTGAAAAACAGACTTGGGACTGAATTTGTGTTTAATTTCTCCTTTGCAGATGAAAGACTCATACCTTATTCTGGATGAGTATGTAAGTATTTCTAATGAATGAGAACATTTAAAAGCTCAGGCTTTCTCCCGCGGGGCGATGGATCCTTGGGTGTCACATAGGAAGTGACACTGCACATCCTGTTGTCTTGGGCTGGTGTTCTCCAGCTCCAGGCACCCAGGGTACTTTGGAGGAAGGTCGTGTCACCCTTCACGTCACCTTCGGTCCTTCTATGCCCCCAGCTTGTCCCCTGACAAATCTTGGCTTTGGTGAGAAGAGGTGACAGTTCCTCTCCAAAAGCCACTCATATTAATGCTACCCCTCTGCCTTCCAAAAAAAGGGAAATGTGCCCCTTGTCAAATTTGAAAAACAAGTAACTTTTTTTCTTTCTTTTGTCTTTTTTTTTTTTTTTTTTTGGCTCGTTTCATAAACTGTTGCCAATATTTCTAGTCCAGGACAAATAAGTCCATTCAAAGACCTGTTTCTAGGAAATGAGCTCAAAAAGTCGCCTGGGGTGGCTCAGTCGGTTGAGTGCCAATTTCGGCTCAGGTCATGATCTCAAATTTTGTGGGTTCGAGCCCTGCATCGGGCTCTGTGCTCACAGCTCTGAGCCTGGAGTCTGTTTCAGATTCTGTGTCTCCCTCTCTCAGCCCCTCCCGTACTGATACTTGCTTTCTCTCTCTCTCTCTCTTTCTCTTTCGAAAATAAATTTTAAAAAACATTAAAAAAAAAAAAAAGAAATGAGCTCCAACAAGAGCAATCGTTTTAACACATGAATAGAATTGGGTGCTTTCAAAAATGCTCATTTTGGCTTTTGGTACTTTATTATTTTCAAATTAATCAATGACACTTCACAACCATTTCACTGTTTGCCAATATGAGCTTTCTTTACGGAGCATAAGGGAGAAAGGTGTTGATACTAATGCTCAGTGTTAATGGGTTCAAGGTAGAGAGGAAAATTCATACAGAATTTATTTCTATTTTTGGAGCATCATGATAGGCTGGACACTTGCATCGAAGCTCCTGTACAAACCCTCTGACCTCCACATATTGGCACAAACACAGTGGACCAAAAATTTGCTTTTGGTAATTTAAGAGCATGTTGATTCATCAAGTAATTCAGCAAGTTGCTTACTGACACAGTCGACCTAAAGAAGTGTGAAGACCTCATTCCTGCCTGTTAGGTGTTTAATTTAGGATAAAAACTAAGACCCTTAACAGGGCGTATAAGACTCTTTTGGTCTGGTGTCTGCCTGCCTTGGTAGTTCCTCTCTTCTCCCTCTCTCTCCCTTTCTCAAAAGAAATCTTCATTAATTCTACACCCGTGTTTCTGTGCGTGAACAGTTTTCATTCTGCAGTATCATCTACATGCACTTTCTGAAACACGCCATCCTGTTTCATGCTTCTGCGCATTTATAACACTGTTTTCTCCTGCATACAATTTCTACATTTTTTAAGTGTATTCCTTTGTTTTGAGAGAGAGAGTCAGCATGAGTGAGAGAGGGAGAGGAAGAGAGAGAATCCCAAGTGGATTCCGAGCTGCCAGTACAGAGCCTAGTGGGACTCAAACCCGCAAAACTGTGAGTTCATGTGCTGAGCCCAGGCCAAGAGTGTGGACGCTTAGCCGACTGAGTCACCCAGGTGCCCCTCCGCCTTACAATTTCTAAACGTGACCTCCCCCCCACCCATGGAGGGACACGTGGCATACATGTAATTTGCTTTATCATGTGCCCAATCGATCTAATGCGTTTCTGTTGGTTAAAGTGAGCTCCTTGAGTAGAGAAAGAATGTTCTAGGAAGTCAGCGTCCTCAGTGTAGTGTCTGGCCAATAGCGTTCCCTAAATATTTGTCGAAATGGCTCCCGTGTCCAACATCATTCCGGATTAACCCCCAACCCTGAGTGTTTCACAGACTCCGTCCTGCTAAACTATCCCCTTTCTGTCGTGAATTTTCTAGATGCGCTTCCTGAATTGTAGGAACGGGCGGAAGGATCCTTCCAAGTCCATCCTGGATGTTGGAGTAGAAGAAGCTATAAAATTCAGCGGATTTGATGAAAAGATGTTTCTAAAGCGAGGAGGCAAATACGTGTGGAGCAAGGCAGACCTGAAGCTGGACTGGTAAGGCTGGAAGCGGGCCAGACCTTGAACCCGCCCACGGCCCGGCCACGCAGACCCCCCGTGGTGGCCACGCTCAGCAGTTCCTCCTGCTCAATCCCGTCTTCTGTTGCACCTGTGGTCTGATTCTCCACGGTAACCCAACACGTAAATCACCTGGACCATTGAAATCCGTAGATAATGCAGAACCATTAACTGTAGTTAATTAGCTTATTTGGGATTTAATTTTTTGAACAGCGTTTTCTGGGACTCCCGTGTTCCCAACTTCGAAGCTATTTATTCAGGCCTTTTACTTGATAGAGGTGTATTTTTTTTTTTCCCTGCTAAATATTGAGATGCCAATTTTCACACCTAGAACAATTACAAAATCCCTCTCCCAAGTAGTCTTCCCACTGTAACTCTCTCCTTTCTGCCTTTACGCCATGTGGTCTTGGACTTTTTAACCCAGAAGTCTGGAAATAGTCAATAGATGGTTTCCGAGAGCGGGAGATGAGTAAGTACCTAGAAGGAGACAGCTCACCTGCCCACGTTCAGCGTGGCCCCTGCTCCATGCTGGCTGTTCCGTGAATGTTAGCTATCTCTGCTACTCCCTTTTCTCTTCTCAGGTCTCAGCAAAACCAATACACACTTTATGTTTCATGACAAAGGTGACATGCGGTCAGGGTTCAGGTTGCTGTATGGACCTGTTACCCAAGCCACCCGAGTCTGCCCAGCAACAACGCATGAGTTCCTGTGAAGAGACAGTTGTCCCTGTATCTCTGACAAATGGCAGCTTACTAGATCAGCCTGATTTATTAGGCAAAAGCACTGGGATAGTGTCTAGGGAAGAATGAGTGGAAGCATCTAGAACGTACCTGGATTTTACATAAATGAAGCCATGGCACAGTATAATATTTCTCAACTAACTCTGAGTCACTTGAAACAAGGATATAATCTGGGTCAAAAAAACATCTGGGCAAAGAGTAGAAGCCCCCTCCCCCCCCCGCCCCGAAGCACTGCCTTCCTTTTCTAGGTTTTTTGGGAAAATGTCACTTAAACGGGGTCAGGGGGAAAAATCCTCTCCTTGTGGAAATATCACACACAGTTTGTTTATGTAATTTAGACAGTATCTCACTGCCGGGGAAACAACAATTTCCTATCATTGTTTCAAAAAAATAAAATCATGGAAAATTTTTCTGCCCGAGCCTAGAGAAATTGTAACCCAGCTGCCATGCCAGTGTTGGTCACTAGGTGGCGATTAAGCGCTGCCAGAGTTTGTGAGGCCCCCACATGGAGATTTGGCGTCATAATCTAATTTTCCAGATTTGGTGATTTTGAAAGATTGGTTTTTGTCATATTTTTTCTCAGAAAAGACATTTTTACTTCAAATTTTAAGTTACTACAGTACAATGGAAATATATTTGTGTCCCATCTAAAATAGGATGGGTAAAAAATTAATAATAAAACATTTAAAAATAAATAAAAAATAAAATAGGATGGGCTGCCATGCATTTCCCACTTTACTTTGTTTTATATTTTAAGAGAAAAATGAATTAGAAAGCTTCTTCCCTGTATGGCCATTGAACGTATCTAAGCTGTGACCGTATCTGAGCTATGATGACCTTAGGATATATAAGCAGTGTATAAAACAGTTTTGTTTTTACATAACATGAGTACATTTTGCTGATCTTCATATTATTCAACAGGAGTAAGTTTAGCAAAGAAAGTGCACGTATGTGAAAGCACCTAAGACATTGTCTGATCCACAGCAGGTGTGCAATCCTTATTTGAAACAAAATCTAAATGGGAAGCCAAAATCCTCTCAGTTGGAATGAATTTCTCTCAAATTCATTCAAACTCAAAATGCAGGAAATTGTTTTACTCATTCCCCAAAGGAAGTCTAAAACAAAACAAAACTGCGCCAGAGAAATAAGTATTTTAAATCTATGTCCCAACTAGGTTTACTCCCTCTTCCCCTTCCTTATGCAGTGTTAGGATTCGTGACGTTTAAAATATCTAACTGTTTATTTTTCTTAAGGGGGAGAAACAAGGACATTTAACATTAGGGTAAAATTCAAATGTGGAGTAAATAGCATTTTGCTTCATATTTTCAGTATTAAATGTGTCAGTTTGGTGGAACATAGTCTTATTGAAAGAAACAAATGGAGTCTACATCTCATGATGAGCACAGGGTAATGTACAGAATCGTTGGATTACTATATTGTACACCTGAAATGGCACCACACTGTATGTTAAATGGAATTTAAAAAAAAAATAATGAAAAAAAAACAGGGGAAGAAACAAATGGTAAAGTTAACTGAGGCATCGCCATTTCCATGTGAAGGGCAAAGGTTTTGTGGTGCTTTTCAGTGCTGCGAATGTTTACACTGTAATGATATGAATGGAATTTTGTCTTAGGAAGCCTGGAAAGGTTCGACATTCTTAATAGCATATTGGTTTAAAAAGTATGAATTGACTCTGCCATTTAGTGATAAATGATGTGAAAGTTGTCCATTTTCTTTTAAGTTTAAAGGTGAGTGGGGTCATGGGCTGAATCATCTGAAGTGCAGGCTTCTGTTCCGTCTCTGCTGGCATCTGGATCCGGTCGCTGTGCTGATAGCGACAACGTGATACTAACACAAGCAGAGACTCAGGGAGATTCTGTCGGGCAGTAACTCATCCACCAGGCTACTCTCTGGTTGAAAGACTGTTTAATCGGCTGTGATTAGAGGAAGACGAATCATGCTATAAGATTTTAAGGTTTTGTCTTGAGTGTATATAGGTCTCCATTTTTAAGAAAAAGATATATTTTTTCTTCCAATGTGCTGCTCTGGAGTATTGAGCTGATGTATTGTAAGATGTGATATATTAAAATATTTTTTGTACGGTGCCTTCTCTCTCTCTCTGTGGGCCGATATAACGAAGCCTCTCCTGGGTGTGTATTTAAAGTAATCGCGTGCTTTTACAAACTGCTGTTGCTAAAGGCAAGTACAATTTAGTAATCAACAAGGTTATCAATAATTAATAAGCATATTGCAGACAGCCCAATCACCAGCCAGAGGGAGTGGAGATGACTCACTGGGGAAAGTGCCCTTTGCATTTATTCTAAAATGAAAGCCAGCGCCCTGGGAGCCAGGTGTCTAAAACCTAATCATGTCAGGGATCTAGCGCCAGCCTCCGTGCCAGCGGTCTAGCTCTACGCTCCGGTCTAGCTCTAGGCCCCTCCAGGGCCTGGGGACTCACCGGCTTCCTGCAGCAGCTGCAGCCCTCGCTCGGCCTCATCCAGGGGCAGCACGAAGGACCTCTTGGCCGTGTGGAAGCAGTCCAAGGGACGGGCAGGCGCCTGGCACTGGGGGCCAAGGAGGTGCACCCTTTGCACCCTGGTTCCTGGCCCTCTGTTCTGTTAGGTTCCTGACCGCTTTCGGGCAGGCACCCATTGGCCCTGGACCTGCTCTTAACATAAGAAAAGCAAGTACCGCCCCATCAGCCAGTGCCCTCCCCTCCCTCTCTCCCATAAGCAGTTTATTTTCATTTAGGGGATCTCAGTGTGTCCCTGTCTGATTCAGCTCCCAATTCCAAGCTCTCAGAGCCAAGGGCTCTGCATTCCTGGCCCCACTGTCCAACCCCCCCCCCGCCCCCCGCCATGCCCTCCAGACTTGGTCTGGTCCTCCTTGGCCATGTAGCCTTCTCTCAGACATGCCCTGCACCCGACCTCTGGTTGCAGCACTCGCTTCTTCAGGAGGGATGTGGCCTCAGGACTTACACACCCCTGGATGTGCGCTAACCCGTAGCTCCAGCCCCAGAGGACAGGGGTCAGATCCAGAGCCTCTTTCCAGTGAAAGAGTCTCAAGGGACAGCTTGAGTCCTTGATGGTTGTGTCTCGGCCGCATCTGAGGTGCACGGCTCCTTGTCAAGCCCCTGCTGATATAGGTGTCCTACCCAGTTATGGGGAAGGAAAGGGTAAATTTTACAGAAAATCCCACAGCAAGTCCAACTCAGGTGCTCTTGAGATGGGCTTGAAAAATCAGACTTTAATATTTTTTTCACGATTCTTTTTTTAATCTCTTTTTAAAAATATTTTTTAATGTTTGTTTATTTTTGAGAGAGGGGTACAGAGCACGAGCAGGGGAGGGAGAGAGACGGGGGGAGACACACAGAATCTGAAGGAGGCTCCAGGCTCCGAGATGTCAGCACAGAGCCAGGACATGGGGCTCGAACTCACGAATCGCGAGATCCAGACCTGAGTTGAAGTCAGAGGCTTAACCGACTGGGCCACCCAGGCGCCCCTTCACAATTCTAAAATCAATACACATTTGGAGTATATTTGAAAAATAGAATAAAGCCAAAAGAAGGAAATAAAACTTATCCATAATTGTATCACTCAGAGGTAACTGCTAATTTGCTTCACATCTTTCCGGTCAGGCATATTTTTTAAGAGAATTGAGTTCATTCTCAATTTTATTCCTCACATAAAACCTTCTGAAGGTTTTGAAAGTCAATGAGCATTCTTACACTTGAATGAGAACAGCCAGTTCCTCACAAGTCACGCTAATAGATAAGAAGACATTCAATGTCGTTCTAAAAACCATAGTTGATTTGAAAAAAAAAATCACTAGGTTTGGTTTTTGAGTGGCTTACACATTTGTTTACGAATGTGAATGCATCTCATGTTCTGGGAATTCACTTTATCTAGAAAAAATACATGACAATAATAATAGTAAAGCAGCTTCTCTGTGCAAGCTGGTTCCTGGAGGATCTGGGAGGCGGCCCAAAGGTGAATTATCTTTGCATTCAGGGCCATTCCAACTTATCCCTGCCTGGTTCTGCTCCCAATGTGATCTGCGAGGTTTTCCCCACCGCTGAGCCATTCTCCGAATGTGGGTGCCCTTCGATTCAGCTCAACTCCCACATATCTGCCTGGAGACAGAGGTGGGCGCACAGGGTAAGTGGTCCCTCCCACAGGACCCACCCCCGCACCCCTCTTCAGAGGCCAGTCACAAGGCCAGGGAAACACCTGTGCTTCTGACCGACCAGCTATAGATTATCGGAGGCTCCCACAATCCCTCCTTGGGTTCAATTAATTTGCTAGAGCGGCTCATTGAACTTGGAGAGACATTTTGCGCTCTAGATCTCTGGTTTACTATAAGAGGATATAAGTCAGGAACAGCCAGGTGGAAGAGGTGTGTAGGGCCAGTTATGGGAAAGGGTGAGGAGCCCCCATGCAGTCTCCAGGCTCACTGGTCTCCCCAAATCCCTACAAGCTCCCCAACATGGAAGCTTTCTGAACCCCGTCCTTTCGGGGTTTTATGGGGCACTCATTACAGATGTGTGGTTGATTGAATCATTGGCCATTGGAGACTGAATTCAATCACCAGCCCCTCTCCGCTCCCAGAAGCCTGGGGGTGGTAAGGAAAGACCCCACCTTCTAATCACTGGGTTGTCTCCCTTGGCAACCAGCTCCTATCCTTGGGGCTTTTCCAAAGTCACGGTATTAACATAACAAAATACACTGTTATCCTCTCATTGTTTAGGAATTTCCAAGGGTTTCAGGAATTCTGCGCCAGGAAGCAAGACAAAGACTAAATATATATTTCTTTTTTTAAAATATTTTTAACACTTATTTATTTTGAGAGAGAGAGCCAGAAAGGGGCAGAAAGAGAGGGAGGGAGAGAGAGAACCCCCAGCAGGCTCTGCATGGCCAGCACAGAGTCTGACGCGGGGCTCCGTCCCACAAACCGTGAGCCAAAACCAAGGCTTGGACGCTCAACTGACCGACCCACCCAGGCGCCCTTATTTCTTATTTTATATAAATCACAGCATTACGCTCTGAAACCCCCTTAGCTCTTTGACTGAAGAGTCTGACCTCTGTCACTTCTTGACGTTTGGGTTGTAATCGACTCTCTGAGAACTCTTTCCCGCCAGCAGGTTGATACTGAGGAGTCAGAAGACAGGAGATGCTGTGAAATTGGAACCCTGTCTTTTCAGGAGGGATGACTTGTCACGCCTTACATCATCAGGAATGTGACTTTTTCCAGGAAGCCTAACAGATGCTGAGCATTCAGGTGTTGTCTGAATTCAACTGACCTGATCAGTTCAGGCTGCCTTCATAAAGTACCACCGACTGGTGGTGGTGTGGGGGGAGGATCTTAATGAAGAGACACATGTTTCTCACAGTTCTGGAGGCTGGAGAGCCAAGGTCAAGGTGCTGGCTGATTTGATTCCAGGTGTTAAAAAAAAGAAACAAGCCCTAAGTGGAGTTCCGTGGCTCCTGAGATGAAATTAAGATTCCAGGACTGTTTCAGCTTCTCCCAGGAACTGACCTTTTTCAAGTCCTTCCGAAATGTCTTGACCAGCCCCGGGGAGGCATGTGCAGGATACAACCCTGCTTTCTCTCCCCTGGAAAAGAACACAACCTGGCCTGAAATAAGCCTTTCTTTCTTCTGCAGGTAGTTTCTTGCCCACCGCCCTTCCTATGAACACCTCCCCTCCCCCCACCATGTGACCAGTGGGGCAGCTCTCCGATTACTTAAAGGGATGCTGCCGGCTTCAGGAATCACTTAATGAAGCCAACTTGATCTTCAGATTTACTCAGTTGAACCTTGGGTGTTTTTTTTGTTTGTTTGTTTTTGTTTTTATTGACACGGGTAAGCAATTCCCGCTGGCTTGGCCTCCCGAGGCAGAGACCCCTGTTTCTAGCGCCTGAGTTCCTCAGAGTGCAGACCAAGGTCAGAGCCAAGGTCAGGGAGACGCCTCTTCCCTCCTCCTTCCCAACCACCTGAGACCCGGACGCCACTTTGTCTTCAGCTTTTGTTCTGTTGTTTGTTTATTTGTTTTACTCTGTGGGGTCTTCTCTTGATGGTTGGGAATTGTGAGGGCACATCTCCTTTTTTGGGGAAATGGGATACATCCTGACCCTGGGGGTCTTGAGAAGAATAAGTTCTCAGAAACACAGCCCCAGGGACTAACATTCAAGCCTGGATGGGAGAGAGGGGAGGGGGCCAAGGGGAAAGAGGGTTGCTGGAGTTTCAGATGCACACAAAACAAGGAAGTAGAGATGCTACATTCTCTGTTGTAAGTTTGCACGCAGCCGTGTCCGGCTCCAGAGGC